TTTTTTTTTTTTTTTTTTTTTTTTTTTACCTGTCTAGGGAAGTCAGATAAAAAGATTGCCAAAAAGAAGTAAGTTTATTCATTGACATTTGGTCTCATTCTGGTTTGTGGTTTGTCTGTTCTCTTCTCCAGGATACTCTTACTCTATACCATCATATCTTCCTGCAATATTTAAACCAAACAAGAAATGTGGTGAATGAAAAATGCTCTGGGATGGAATCCTGGCAAATCATCGCATCAACAACGGCTGTTACCTTGCTGATTGTGAAGATATACATGTTTCTTTTCCAGCCAGAAAGTAAGGGTCACATCTACTTCATGTGAGAAATATAACACTGCACAGTGCTTTCGAGTATCATAATAGTGTACTATTTTTAATCTTCATGCATAGTTTCTGCACCCCAGTAATTCCTTGATTGCAATCTAATCCCAGAATTAAAAGATATGAAATAGCAAGAGAGGAACACATGGACATATGTTCACACACATATACAGTACATGCCATATTTAAGTGTGATCAGATTGGTTAGAAATAATAAGTTGCTAGCCCTTGTTGTAAACAGATAATCAGAAAGTATTGCAGCAGATAAATTAAGCCGTAGAAAGAAAACGAGACTTTCCATGAAACATTGTAAATGATTAATTTAATTTAATTAATTTAATATACTTACTCTTAGTATTTGACCGTAAGGTGAAGCACAGAACAAGTGAGGATGAGCTTCAGGTTTTCTCCAGCCTATCTTTTTACTTAGCAGCAGTTTTCATGTGCTGTAACCTTATAATATGGCCATTCTGAATTGTAGTTCGTAAAAATGACACATTTATAAACAACATCTTGAAACTGTTTCACTAGCTCTGCTTGTCTGGGTTTTGAAAACAAGAATGTTAAAGGAGACTTATCTTTATTTTTCATTTAAAAAAAAGGAAATACTCATCTTCAGTGTGCCAGGCATTCATTCATTCATTCATTCATATTGATTTATATGGTCATCCATCTCACCGATGCAACTCTGGATACTATATATATATAGTACCAGTATAGTTCTGATATAAATTGCTTTTTGAAGAGCTGATATTTTTTTGAAAGATTTGTTTTAAATTACTTATTGTTATTTTGAAGACAAATCTGTTTTGAGAACATGCCAAGTTAATTGAAAGAAAACATGATTCACAACATTTAAATGGTACTGAGTGAAAGGAATATAGGTAAAATGGTTGTTTTTTGTCTATTTGATATTTTTGCCCTTCTCTCACACTAAAAATTATTCTGCACTGACTATTTGAAAATACTGTGGGGCTGCAAATGTTTTTAAGTTGTCTTTCATTTAAGTTCATTTAAGCAAATCTTAAAATATGGCTAATTTGAACTATAGTTAGAGAAAATAACCCATGTTCATAAATGACATCATGAAATTGTCTTATTTCCACTGGTTATAACTTTTCTTTGCAGTCACTCTGGAGAAACAAGAGAAAGCCATGAGCCAGACATTCAAATGAGTTTTCTTATTGGGTATCTTCAACAATTGACGTAAATTAAAAAAAAATTATGTTAAGGCAATTGCTGCTTAAATATATTTTAACATCAACAGTGTGCATAAGGATGGAATACATATTTTATCATTCAGTGCAAGAAATTAGCTGTCTTCATTTCCTTTTATACTTGACATAACTTTAAAATATTAACTATCTGCCTGTTTTGCTATATTTAAACAGTATTATTTTAGGTGCATAAATATTTATGTGCTGACTATATTACTGCTAAAATTAGGTGGAGGGGCTCAATTACAGCATCAATAACATGGCCAGGTGTTGATTGTGGAAAAGATAACAAACAGTTCATGGGCAAGGTGCAAGTTAAGCTAAAAAAAGAACAAGTCAGTTTCCACAATATAATGTTGAGCATGTACCCATCATTTTCAAAGAGAACATCAGGAACTGCTTTGAAGTCCCGAACCTCATTGATAGAGAAGGAGAGGAACTGTTGAATGATCTTAAATGAAATGCTTAAGGATGAATTTTGAAAGAGGCTGCCAAAGATGAAGAAACAGAAGAAAACAAACTGGATGTCACACCAAACTATGAAGATTGTCAAAAAGTGGAAAGAAGCTAAAGCCCAGGAAGACAGCGTTCTTTGGAAGAAACTTAACAGTTTCAGAGAGCTATTAGAAAAGGCAAGAAGCTGTATTACAACATCTGTAAAGACACTGAGCATAGAAACAGATATGGAAAATCAAGGAAGGTCTTTAAAAAAAAACAACAACACCTCTCTGAACTCAGGAGGTTCCAACCTCAAGTTGGCATGCTAAAGGTCAACTACAGTATGTACAGACAAAGATCACGGAATCAATCAAGGTTTTCAAACAAGCTGTGCCAACAAATCTATGGACTGGGAAACGTTAATCGACATTCAAATACACACACACATACTCTTAACAGAGTATGCAAGCTACCATTCAATATTCTGGCAAAATAATACTTAGAATCATCCAATATACATGAAAAAAGAGATACCAGATGTTCAAACTAGCTTTAGAAAAGGCTGAGGAACATGAGACTTTGTTTCTGATGCATGCTGGATAATTGAGAAAGCTAAAGAATGCCAAAAATAAGTCACTATATGCTTCAGTGATTATAGAAAGACCTTCAAATGGGTCAGTCATGTCAAGCTGTAAAATGTGCTTAGAAAAGTGGGAATCCAAGTTCATCTCATTGTCCTCATGAGACAGACACACACATAAAAAGAGTGAGACATGCTTGTATACTCTCTCCTTACTTATTCAGCTCATATGTTGAATATATATAAAGGAAAACTGGATTGGAAGAAGATGAATGTGGTTTTCAAATTAGAAGACTAAACACCAATAACCTATGCTATGTTGATGACCCAATTCTTATAGCTGAAAATGCAAAGAAAATGCAACATTTGTAATAAAGGTTAAAGAACATAGTGAAAAAATGGGACTAAAATATACTTGTCAGTCTGGTTTTCTTTATAACAATCAAACTTAATTGATAATAGCAGCAGCACTTAGATTTATATACTGCTTCATAATGCTTTACAGCCCCCTCTAAGCAGCTTACAGAGTCAGCATATTGTCCCCAACAATCTGGGTCTTCATTTTACTGACCTTGGAAGGATGGAAGGCTGAATCAACCTTGAATCGATCAGGTCATAATAAAGATACTGGAATGATAGATAGTTTCTGTCCTTTAAAAAGATCAGCCATCAATAACAAAGAAACAAGTCAAGAAATACCCTCCAGACCAGGACTAGGTAAAACAGCCAAGAAAATCTTAGAAAAAATATTAAGGTCATGCATATGTCTGTATCTACAAATATCAGAACAATGCAAGCCGTGGTAGTCTCTGTGGCACTCTATGAAAATGAAAGTTTGAAGAAGCAGCATAGGAAAAATATTGACCCTTGGAGAAGACTTCTGAGAATACTGTGGGGAGCCAAGAAAATAAATTGATCATTGAACAAATCGATCCAGAGTTCTGACTAGAGGCACAAATGAGAAGGCTCAAATTACCTTACCTTGGGCACATTTCACCCTAACCCTAACCCTACCTTTATGGAGAAGGTTTTAAAAGCTGGGAAAGCCGGAAAGAAAAAGAAGTGGGTGACCAGCAACAAGGTGGATGGACTCCGTTAAAGTTTCAGCAATTGCACCATCAGAAGATATGAAATATCAGCATTTCCGTTGCTAAGCAAGGTGCCTTGTTAAGTGAGTCCCACATGATTTAACAACCTTCCCCCCCCCATTGTTAAGTGGATCACGGCAGTTGTTAAATTAATCATGTCATTAAGCGAATCTGGTGTCTCCCTATAGACTTTGCTTATCGGACGCCAGCTGGGAAGGTCACACATAGCGACCCCTGGGGTGCTGTAACCGACAAAAATAAATGCCAGTTTCCAAGCACTTGAATTTTGGTCCATGACTGTGGGGATGCCGCAACAGTCATAAGTGTGAGAACTGATCATGAGCCAGTTTTTTCAATAACTTTGAATGGTTGCTAGCTGTGCATCAGTTTGCACGATAGTGGAGTATTCTTGTCTGCTCTTGTCAATCTAATTTAATAGTATCCACAAAAGATTTAAATTGTAAGCCTGATTCGTAGATACCCACAAATCTGCCTTTCTACCTTTTCTGTGGAGGTTTTACACATTTTATGTTGTGTGTCTCAGAGCTGTTTTCCTTTAAAAAAAATCTCTTATTTTTTCTTTTTCCTTAGGTTTAACATCACGATTTAAAAAATGGTTCTTCAGATTTATACGCAAGCTGCCCATCATTGGTCATATTGTAAGTTTTTTTAAAATAATTTTTTATTTTTTAAAACAACAAAACAAAATATAACACACATACACACACAGTGTATACTCCTCCCTTTTTTTTAAACAGCAATTTCGTAACGGTAATCTTCTATTATTTACATTTTCCCCTCTTATTCTTCTTTAGATATATTTGTCCTTGTTGTCCCGTTGTTTCTTATTTGCATTTTTCTTCCTTCATACTATATTTCATACTAAGAATAATACATATTATTATTACTATACATTATTATACACACATTTTCCACTTTTGACCTTTCCGCATTTATTCTCCTCTATTATTTCTAGTCTCCAACCAGTCATACCATTTGTTCCATATTAGATAGTACTCTGTGTCTTCCTTTTCTTTTATCTCTTTTGTTAATTTGTCCATCTCAGCACAGTCCAGGATTTTTCTTATCACTTCTTCCTCTGATGGTATATTCTCATTTTTCCAGAACTGTGCGTATGCTATTCTTGCTGCCGTTGTTATATGTAGAATTAAGTACCGTATTTCTTTACTATAATTTCTGTTTAAAATACCCAGCAAAAAGATCTCTGGTTTCCAATCTACCGGTTGGTCTATTATTTCTTCGATCCACCTTCTTATTTTAGTCCAGTATTTTTTCGCAACTGGGCATGTCCACCATAAATGATAATATGTTCCATGTACTTTTTTACATTTCCAACATGTTGGCGAATTGTTCTGGAACAAATTGGCAAGCTTTGCTGGTGGAAGATGCCATCTGTAAAACATCTTCAACTGGTTTTCCTTAAATGCCGCTGACATAGTCAATTTTATGTTTATTTCCCATATTTTTTCCCATTTCTCCAATTCTATATTATATCCGAAATTTTTTGCCCATCTAATCATTGTGTCTTTGACAACCTCGTCTTCCATTTTATATCTCAATAGGTATTTGTATAAATTGCTAATTAATTTTATTTCTGTTCCATGTATAATTTTATTCAATTCTTGCGGCTCTTTTTGTATTTCATATAATTTTTTGTCCTCTGTATATTTAGATTGAATTTGTGTAAATGTCCACCAGTCAATCTCTCTGCCTATATCTTGTTCCAATTCTTGTTTTGTTTTCAGATTTCCCTGTTCATTTACTAATTCCTTGTATCTAATTATCTTATTTATATCCAGTAGGTTTGGGTGTTCCAGAGCTTCTGTTGGGGATAACCATATTGGAATTCTTATATAATGTTTTTGTTTTATTTTTTCCCAAGTCTGTAGCAATGCATTCCTAACTATGTGTCTTTGAAAGTATCTGTGTATTTTATATTTTTCGTCCTATAGGAATGCATGCCACCCTGCTTGCAAGTCATGTCCTTCTATTGTTAAAACTCTAGTATTTTTCAAATCCATCCAATCTTTTAGCCAAGTTAGGCTCGATGCTTGGTAGTATATTTCCCACTCTGGTAACGCCAATCCCCCTTTATCTTTCATATCTTGCAAGAGTTTTAATTTAATCCTGGGTTTTTTCCTTTGCCATATAAATTTAGTGACCAATTTATTTAATTCTTGAAAGAATGTTTCCCCTAATTTTATTGGAATAACTTGGAACAGAAATAATATTTTTGGCAATATATTCATTTTGACCGTAGCTGTCCTCCCTAAAAATGAAATTTGCTGATTTTCCCAATTTTCTAAATCTTTTTTTATCTGGTGTAATATTTTATCATAATTATCCTCCTTAATCGAGGAACATTTCGCTGTAAGCCAGATCCCTAAATATTTTATTTTCTTAGTTATACTTATCTTTGTTTTATCTTCCAGTTCACTTTCCTGTGCCTTTGTAAGATTTTTGGTTATTAATTTGGATTTATTCTTATTAATCTTAAGTCCGGCTACCTCACCAAATTCTTCTATTTTTTGAATCAATTTAAAGCTGGTTTCTAATGGATCTTCCAAAATGAATACCAAATCATCAGCGAAGGCTTGGACCTTATATTCTTCCTTCTTAATTTTTAAACCCTTTATTTCTTGGTCCTCTCCGATTTTTGTCAGGAGTATTTCTAATGATAAAATAAACAGAAGAGGGGAGAGTGGGCATCCTTGTCTTACTCCTTTGGTTATATCATTTTTTTCTGTCATTTCATCATTTATAATTACCCTAGCTGTTTGTTTAGTATATATTTTTTCAACCATCTTTCTAAATTTTGTCCCAAAATCCATATAGTGCAATTGTGTTATAATAAACTTCCAATTCAGATTATCAAATGCCTTCTGGGCATCAAGAAAAACCAGTGTAGCTTGTCTTTCAGGATGGACTTCATAAAATTCTAAATGTTCATTATTATCCTCATATTATTTTTTATCTGTCGTCCTGGTAGAAATCCATTTTGATCTGGATGGATGTAGTTATTCAAATTTTTTTAAATCCTTTCTGCTATTATTGTTGTAAATGTCTTATAATCTGTATTCAGTAAAGAAATCGGCCTATAATTTTGAATTTGTTGTAGGTCTGAGTCTTCCTTAGGGATGAGGGTGATGATTGCTTCAGTCCAAGTTGTCGGTATCTTCGCCTCCTCCAGCACCTCATTGTAAATCTCCAACATTATCCATTGTAGTGACTCTTGTGTATTTTTATAAAACTCAACCGGAATTCCATCTGGGCCTGGTGATTTATTGTTTTTTTGTTTTTTTCAATGCTGTTTTTAGTTCTATTGCGGTTATTGGTCTATTCAACATTTCCTTTTGTTCTTCAGTGATTTTGCTCATTTTTGCTGCCTCTATATATTGTTTGACTGTATCATCTGCTATATCTTCCTGATGGTATAGTTTTGAAAAGAAATTTTGTATTATATTCTTTTTTTCTTCCCGTCTATATTGTACTGTTCCACTTTTGTCCTGTAGTTGATGTATTGTTCTTTTGCCTTTTTATTTTTTTAATTTATAGGCCAACCTTCGACCAGTTTTATTTGCATTTTCAAAGTAATTTTGTTCGCCATCCTAATTTTCTGTGTCATTTCTTTTTGTGTTGTCAGGTTAATCTTGTGTTTTATAATATTCCATTTTTCTTTTATCTTTTTGTTTTGTGGGTCCTTCTGTAGATCACCTTCTATTTTTTTAAATTCTTCTTGTAATTTTCCTTGTTGAAGTCTCCTATCTTTGTTTTTCTTAAAGTTGTATGCAATTGTCAATCCCCGAATGTAAGCTTTTGTAGTATCCCACAAATTTTGTGTTGATGTCTCTTCCTTTTTATTTACCTGAAAAAATAATGTCAACTCCTTTTCTAGCATCTGAATATATTGTTTATCTTTACACAGTCTTTGATTCATTGACCATCTTTTTCTCTGTTTCTGGCCTTTCCATTTTATTATTATTGGGTTGTGATCCACCCAATCATTAAGTCCTATTTCAATTTCCTCTATCCCGTTTTGTACTTCTGTTGTTGCACAGGCCATATCGATCCTAGACCAAGATTGATGCAGATACGAATAGAACATATATTGTTTGTCTGACCTGTGTATCTCTCTCCATATATTCTGAAGGTTGAGTTCTGTTCATATTGTAAGCTTTAAGCTGCTTAATAAATTTAAGATATTTTGAGAATAGTTTGGGCATGAGTTGATCTATCAGTGCTGATTGAAGCAAAATAACAATATTGAAAACATAATGTCATATTAATGCTTAGCTGAAATGCGATAGCATTCCACTTTAACCACAAATTCGTAGCCAGTTTAAAACCAAGCAAAATTCAATTCACCATTGATTCTTTTCTTTCTCCTTAATAATCTTACTATAAACAATGGAGTACCTAGCCAGTGTCTGTATCTTCATATGATTTGCTTCATTGGTAAGTGATTCAGAGGGATCCTTGAAGATCCCTGAGCATTTATACTGAAGATGGCAAAAGAAGGAACACAGACTTGCTTATTGATTGAGTGTTGAATTTATACTACACGCTCATGGGCTGACACCTTCCATTGAATATTGAAAATAATTGAAGATAATTAACACCAATTAATCATATCAGATAAAACAATGGAACATGACTTAATTGTAGTGAAAAACATATGGAGAACTGCACAATATTTATTCTGCATAAATCCTAATGCCAGTTTCTAAGAAGAAATGCTTGCTCAATAACATAGATTATGTCTTAAAATCACCCTGGGAAGGTGATGTCTACACCTCACAGTGGTAGTGTTGCCAGGTGTTTTTATCTAGGTCTCCTTTTCTTGTGGCGTCAATAATAATATAAAGGATTCATGGAGTCCCTCCTTCGTGATATGATGTGGAAACCATTCTATTAGGTACACAAGACATAAGCCATAAAGGAATCTATGTATTGAATCAATTTAAATTTGGCTTTCAAAAATTGTGAAAGCAGTGCAGCTGAGCCAGAATAAATACCACAAGGAATACCCATCAGAAACTTGACCACAGCATTCTGGATCCATTGCAATGTTCTGGTTTCCCTCAATGACATCCTCACAGAAAATGGACTACAGTAATCTGTTTGGAAAGCAATTGTAGTATGAATCGTGGAGGGCAAAGTAGTCCTATCCAGGAATGGGGAATGTAATGCACTTTCAGAGATAATGTGAAATTGAGAAACATTCCCAAGAGGTGAATCTGCCCTTTCAGTCTCAACATCTTTTTTACATCGTGGTGACCAAAACTGGATGCAGTATTCCAAGCGTAGCCTTACCAAGGCATTGTAAAATGGTATTAATACTTCATGTGATCTTGATTCTATCCCTCTGTTAATGCAGCCTAACACTGTGTTGGCTTTTTTGGCAGCTGCGGCACACTGCTGGCTCATATCTAAGTGATTGTTCACTAGGACTCTTGAGATCCCTCTCACAGTTGCTACTATTGAGCAATACCTGTACATTTGGTTTTTCTTGCTTAAATGTAAAACCTTACTTTTTTCACCATTGAATTTCATTTTGTTAGATAGCGCCCAGTGTTCAAGTCTGTCCAGGTCCTCCTGTTTCTTAAGCCTGTCTTCTGGAGTGTTGGCTATTCCTGCCAGCTCGGTGTAGTCTGCAAATTTGATGAATTCCCCATCCCCTCGTCCAAATCGTTGAAGATGTTGAAGAGCACTGGGCCCAGAACAGAGCCCTGGGGCACCCCACTACACACTTCCCTCCATGTAGATGCAGTTCCATTGAGGACCTCACGCTGAGTACGACCGGTCAGCCATGGGCCCAGAACAGAGCCCTGGGGCACCCCAGTACACACTTCCCTCAGTGTAGATGCGGTTCCATTGAGGACCACATACTGAGTACGGCCGGTCAGCCAGCTATGAATCCCATCTGATGGTGATGCTGTCTAACCCACATTTTTCTGTCTTATGTAGTAGTAGGTTGTGATCTACTTTATCAAATGCCTTACTGAAGTCCAAGTAAATTCCTCTGGTCCACTCATTTTGTCACTTGGTCAAAGAATGCAATAAGATTTGTCTGGCATGATCTGTTTTTGACAAACCCATGTTAACTTTTGGTAATGACTTTGTTTGCCTCTAGGTGTTCGCTGATTCGTTGTTTGATTATCTTTTCCAAAATCTTCCCAGGTATTGAGGTCAGGCTGATAGGTCTGTAGTTTCCTGGATCTATTTTTCCCCCTTTTTTGAAGATGGGAACTACATCAGCTCTTTTCCAGTCCTCTGGTAGTTCCCCAGTGTTCCAAGATCTTTGAAAAATATAGTTCAGTGGTTCTGAGATCAGTGGTTCTGAGATTTCTTACTACTGACACTATACAATGTTCTGTATACTATGCTCGACTACTATTCTACTACACTCTACTTTCGCTTGTACTTCATTGCTATATTACACTATTTCTACTATTAGTATGCTATTTATTTATTTATTTAATTTTTTTTTTTTTTTTGTATCCCACCTTTATAATATTTAAAAACAACTGAAGGTGGTGAACATATTCAACACTTCTTCCTCCTCCTATTTTCCCCACAACAGTCCTGTGAGGTGAGTTGGGCTGAGAGCGAGTGATTGGCCCAAAATCACTCAGCTGGCTTTCATAGCTTAGGTAGGACTAGAATTTCCAGTCTCCCACTTTCTTCCCTGGTGTCTATTATCATCTACTATCTATTATCATTGCCACTATACTACTACTATTGCTAGTATACAGCAGTATTTTACCCTTAAGACCCTACTCTGTCTTTAAATCCTCTCTCACTGGAATTTTTTCCATTGTTGTCTTCTTTATTAAGGTAAAGCACTGGCAGCTTCCCAATGTTCTGTTTGGCTTTGCCGTGCCTCTTATTTTTCTTCTGGATCCTTCCATCTCTGTGAAGCAAACTTCTTTTGTTTGTCTAGTTTCTGCTGCTGCCGTTAAGCTTCAAAAATATATGTATCTCCAACTGTTTCATGGTTAAGTTAACCAATTCTGACACTGGGGACAGGGCTTAAATAGGAAGGGAGAAAGGCAGTCACATGCCTGTAATTTTCTTAGCAGCCCACTTTACCACCGTCACCCAGTTTGAAGTTTGCTCCTAATGGCTTCATACAGGCATTGAAAAATTTGAAATATAGCATAATATTCTGTGGTGCTTCATCCAAAAAATGTACCATGGTAACAGTGATAACTCTTCCAAGTGATCTAAGGGAATACCCTGACTGATGGTATCAAGAGCTACCATGGAATCCAGAAACACAAGGGACACTCCTGTTGCGTTCCTTCAACAGATCGTCCATCAAGGAAACCATAAGGTTTTTTTCTGTGTGGTGACCTGTCCTGAAAATCCATCTGAAATGCATCTGAATAATCAGTGACAACCAGGAATATCTGGATTTGCTTCTGCTAATACTTACATTTGGACCGGCTCATTGAAACTCAACAGGAACGACATTGAAGCATTATAAAAAAAAAAGATCAGACAATTTCCAGGTGTAATTTCTGAACAGCTAATTTAAGAGAAAGTACACTGCATGCTGGCAAAGGCTGCAATAAATAGAAATTCCATTTCATTTTACATTGCGTGCTTTTATGTGAGGTAACCATTGATCAGCATTTTTTAACTTTATTGATTCAGTGTACAGGAAAAAAAGGAGAAAAAGAACAACGCATGATTTCTCGGAAGGTAGGAATTCTGCGGAATATAATTTTCTTTCACAATTAATCAGCTGTGAAATCCATGATGAATTTTGTGCAAGAAACATTACTGAATCTGTACGTAATAGCCAAAATTACCCATGTAATTTTGTTGCTACGATAGCTAATCTTTTCAACATCGAGGAAAGCAAGCCCATTTATATTAACACTGTAAACAAAATATACTACATTAAAAGTTCAATGTTTAATGTAGTTATTTAGTTTCAAACGAACACTTTTGTTTTCTTAAAATGATTTGGGGAAATCATGAATTGGGGAATGAATGAAAGCTCAATGGAAACTGTCAATGTTGCCGTAAAGCAAAAAGATTCTTTTATTTTATGGATTTAGACCATAAAGTTCTTGGATTCTTCAGACAGCATTCAAGAAGATGTAGGATTCCTCACTGTACTGCTCAGCTGAAATGGGACCCTGTTTTTGGAAGGTGCTCACCGCTGTAGGTCTCTTTCCAAGGTCAAGAATTCTAAACTTGGAAAGCTCTTGAAGGACGCATGTTGAAGACCGGGTGGAGTATATGCTGAGAATTGCTGAAGATCTGAAGGTTGTTAAAGCCCTTTTCATCTTCCATGCTAAGAAATAATTTAGGTCTGCTTTTAAAGGAATAGTAATGGAAACAACATTTTTCTTTAAAAAAAATAGACTAGAATAAAGAGATGATTATATCTGTTAGATTTTCTCTATCGAACTGCAGCCAAGAAAATATATGGATATATATTTGTTTGGCTTGAAAGATCTTTGACTTACATTTCAGGTTGTTCTTGTAGATTCATGTCATGGTTGTCTCAAAGGTGCTTTTTCAAAAGGCAACTGAATTTTCTTTGCTTTTTCCTTGAAGATGTTTTGCTTCTCATCCAAGAAGCTTCAGTCAGAACTGAACAAATCTTGGATGAGAAGTGAAACATCTATTAGATTCAGTATGTTATATGCTTCTGCTT